TTCGTAAAATCCATTAAATAAAATATTTGTGTGTAGAAAAAGAGGGCCAAAAATTATCCCTGCGGGGAGGGCAGGGAACCATGACAATTAACGGTAAATTATGCATTACTTCTGACACCAAAAGTGAGTGAGCCCAAAGGAGTTGATTTACCTAAAAAACTGCAGCTATTCCCGCTACCAGATCGACGACCGGTTGTTTTATTGCAGCTCCAATTATTTTCAAAATTTCCTTTATCCTTTGCGTTGCTGTTGTTGTTGTTATGATTGTTGTTGCTGTTGCCGTTGATAAAGCTTGTGGTCTGGCTGTTGGTGTTGTTATTTCGGGTTATGTTGCTGGTGCCTTTGCCACTCGAAGAGCGGTTGGTTAGTGGGAACATGGCATGTATCTTTTGTGGTTCGCTGTGGGTTCGTTGGTTGCCTCATGTACAAGTATCTCAGCATCTGTAGTATATGTAGCCGTCTGCTGTTGCTGTATCTATAGCTTTAGTATGGATGCAGTTCCAGCTGCCTGCTGCCGATGAGGCGAATCCTTTTAAGTCGTTGCCCTGGCAGCCGGGCGCCTGATTTAGCTTTGCTTCTTGCTGCCTAAATGCTTGTCTTCCTTCTTGTTCTCTCCTCTGTCACACTTTTTGTATCACGTTCTCTTTGTCGCTCCTTTTTTTATTTCTTTCGATTTCTTTCGTTCGATTCGGTTTCAAAATGCACTGGCAAAAGCCGCCATGGAATGCTTTAAGTTTAAATAAATCACTAAATATAGATGTTGGCTTGTTGCTTAACTCTTTTTCTCTTTTTAGATTGAGCAGTTGGTTCTCTTCGGATCCTCTTTTGTTTGGCCAAAATGTGCAAAGAATTTTACTGAATACTTAAATTTTAATGAAAAACAATTTCATCAAATCTAGTATTTGTGTTAACCGCATGACTATTGAATAATTTCGTACCATATTATCTTATCCCCCCGTTTTGGAGAGGAGTCATCGTTTTGCAAACGGTAAACAGTAAAATAATTTTCACACGACAAAAGAGGAATTCCTAGACGAGTATGCACACCCCCACACACACACACAGCACACACTGAAACAAACACAGGTATTTATGATCGGCTAAGTTTATTACATTTTTCTGCAGTGCATTCCACATTACTCATCATCACCTGCCGCAACGGCACATGGAAACTATCTTTAATTTGGCAAGTTTGCACTTTTTTTGGGGGAATTTGACATACGAGTATGTGTTTCTGAAATGAGAACCGTATCCAAAGTAGCGACGATGCCGGGCCCGTCCCGTCCGTACGATTGATCGCGGCTGGCGGAGCCGTTGTTTGGCCGAGAGGTGCGCGTGCGCGAGCTTTAAAATGCGTTTGAAAACTGAGCGGCGAAAAGCCAGACACATGGTATAACCATGCCATGCCATGCCTTGCAACAAGGTATGGACAACTCAGCGTGCTTGCACTCTCTATATTCAGAGCGTGTTTGGTCCCTTGCAAAGAGAGAGCTCGCTGAGATGGCTCCCACCTTTTAAATGCTATGCCAAAGCCAGACAAGTGTCGGACTCTCTCTCTCTCTCTCTCTCTCTGCACACAGTGGGCACACAACTGGTTTACCGGTTTTCCAAAACCCAAGACACAATTTCAGAGTGTGCTTGCGCTCTCGTTGTCGTTCCTCCTCTCTCCCGCTGTCTTTATGTTCAGCTCTCCAGCTGATATGCGATCTCTGCACGGCGCTCGGCGCTCGGCGTGCGTTGCTTGTCTCTGCGTCTGTCTTATCAGTTTCACTATCACTCTTTTTCTTTCTCTTTTTTTTCAATTTGTGTGGAAGCATTCATTCACGCCGAGTTCTAGTATTTGTATTTGTTCTTTATGGGTTTTGACTGATTGAGGTGCTGACTTGGTCGCGTCGCTTATCGCTCTGCCTTACCTCCCTCTTCACACACCGCATCCGGCTGACCGAGGAGCGAATGATGACGCAAGCAAATGGAGGTGCCTTTAGCCATTGGAATCCACTCCACTTCACTCCTCTCCAGGGGCTCCTCTCAGATAAGTGACTGGTTGAAAGTGAGTGGATTAGGCAAGATTTCGATTTGGACGAGTATGAGGTGGAATTGTGTCACTCTACAATGTGTGCCGTCGGGACTCCCTTGTAAAATATTCTACATCGGTTTTTCAAAGCCAGCAGATGGCATGGTGCAAACATAATTATTCTCGAATATTTACATAAACAAACTGATTAGATAGGAACCCTATTTGATCTGTTCCTTTAACCAGGAAAATGGATAAAGAACCAAAATCCAAAAAGGTAACAAAATCAATTGGCAGTGCTACTTGGGGAAATTCACCCCCATTTTTGGTAGCATTACAATCACATGTAAAGGTTGCCCAATTTCCCAATAGCTGGAAAGCCAAATAGAATTTTCAATTACATTAGAATTAATCTACTCATTAGGTGGAAAAGAGAAGAAAGAAACGCCCGAACACCCGCGTTCAGCTCACGTAATCTTACAGCAATGACAATAATGGTTTGTAATCGCTCGAAACATGTTCGGGTTCGTGTTCGTGTTGGTCGTAGATCCCTCAGTTATTGAGTCCATGTAAAGCGATCAAATGAGCTAATACCTGTGACACAATCGTGATTAATGGGTTTTGATTGTAGCAGAGACCCTAGAGACCCATGTGGATGGGTTCTCTTTCCATTACATTTTGTAGAAATCTTTTCCGTAACAAAAATCTAGAACATTACATATAATAACGGGCATCTAATTGATAAGAGAAGCATAAACATTAGAACTGATTTAGAAACTAAATCACAAACTGATTTAAGCATTTTGCAATGTTTGGAGTAAAGTTCTAAATTTTCTTGGAATTATCAAAGAGTGGCAACCACAAAAGTTCTGCTAGTTCTCAGGCAATCGCATTCTTAGACTTTTAACCTTTTTTGCAGTAAATTCTATTTAATCAAGAGCCAAGTAAATGGTTTCCATCGTAGCACTTTCATTATCGCAAGAGTGGAAAAGACTAACTACAGAGTTCAACTCATAAATATTGAAAGAGCAATTGCGAAATTCAAATTCAAGTGCATCGATTGTGGGAAATCAGAGACTCGCCCCGCTCCGACTCCGGGGCTGGCTTATCGAACACACAAAATGCATTCAAGTCGGTGCGTGCGCTGGGATTTTATTGAGGCTCCTATCTGGATCCGAGCTTGGGATCCATCCCGTGCCAATAAATAGTTACCGGGTCCCGTGCCCCGTTTGGGTCCACCGGTCCAGCTGTGGCCACGGGCAACTTTGTTGCAATGGCAAACTGTGTCCGAGTGCGAGTGTTGGCCTCTCGCATCCGTCAGATACAGATAGTTTTCAGCCGGTTTCTCGATTCGTTGTTGGTCCATTCATGGCAACTACCGTTTGGGTCTTTTGTTTGACTTTGTCTTGCGGCCGTCAGCTCTCCTCCAAGTCTATTTGTAGATACAAGCAGCCAAACAACACAAGCGTCTGCCACTGCCTGTCTTCGTTGTCTTCTTCGTCTTCCCCCATTTCTCTCTGTGGCGGCGGTGGAGTGGAGTGTGTGCTGAGAGACTCTTCTACCTGTTCCATGGATGCGTCTCTGAGGCTCCGCTTTGGGTCGCTTTGGCTCGGTTCGGTTCGGTTCGGTTCAGTCTCTCTGCACGTTCTCAGCGCAATCTCAAGTGTTTTTTAAAAGTTTTCCAGCGATAAGCAATGGAACTTTATGGCCCATCCACATCGACTCGCACTCAATGCACCCCCTGGCAGTGGCTGTGGCTGTGGCTGTGGCTGCGGCAGTGGTTGGAGCTTCATCATCATCATCCATCCTAGTTTGCCATGGTTTGGTGTGGCACTGGCACGGCGTTCGGTGTGATCATGATGCATATGATTCATGACTTTTCACTTTTGCGCACTGCACACACACTCCAAACAAGCCACGAATTTCCACAGCCAGGGCAGAACAGTGGATCAAAATGCAGAAAAACTGTGCGAATATCTAACAGGTGGAAAGAATACTTATTCGGTAGATATGAAAATGATTTTGGGAATCCAAAAAGGTAACTTTTATGCTGACAAATCGATCACCAAATATTAATTCATTCTTAAAAGATTAAATCGCATGACACCCACTATGCAAATATTGATGGGGCTGGGGCTGGGGCTGGGTCTGAGAGAGGCTGCGGCTGACACTTAACCCTTGCATAAATTCTCATCAGCAGCGTGGATGGTGGGGCTTTGGAGTGGCACGTAAATTACTGTGACATTGCACTTTGCAGCATCATTTGGCAATTTGTTGCAACTATTTTGTTTGCGGGCTGTGCCAGTTTATTGATTAGTTTTAAATGAAAAGTGGAAGGGAGTGCAAGCGGCAGGCTGGCGCATAAATCTTGGCCAATTTTCTTATTAGAAACTGTCAATGTCACAGCGTACTCGTATCAGCGAATTTTCACCCCGAGGAGGATCCTCCCAGCTGGCTAGCACGGTCATATGCTAACCAAATAAGAGATATATAAAATCCACTTCGATGATTTATGACCCTGGTGCTGTTGGCTTGTTAAACATCTGTGTGAAATGGCTTTCTCTCTTCTCTTCTTCTTGGGCTTTGTTTGCTCTACGGCCGATTGAATCGTACCAAATCGTATGCACCACCACCATTCGCCCGGTGGAAATCTGTTGGCTCTTTGAGAGGCCGAGAGGATGTTGTTGCTGCTGAATGGCCGGCTGGCTGATGATGTTGAAGTGTGTGCTGGGGGTCAGCGTTAGCCGCCGCCTTGCGGGCTACCTTTCTAATGCCGAAAGAAATGAGTCCGTTGCGAGTCGGTCATTAAAACAGTTGTACGAAGAGTGGAGTATCTGTGTCTATGTCCGGTAATGAAGGATGGTAAATGAGTTTAATGCCAGGCTGGGCGGGCAAAGGATTGGCGAGGTCTTTCTCACAATTAGCCATAAATGGGAAATTTCATGGATTTTATAGCACAAATTAAGTGTGTGTGTGAACCACTCACCAGTCTCTGCTGCACTCAGGCATTTGGCGGATGCCTCCTCGTCCAGCTCCTCCTCGGGATGAGCAGCATAGTCCGTGTCCAGGACGCCGCAGCTTGCACTTACGGAACTCCAGTCAAGGGCACTCACGCCATCGCTGGACATCATGGATATGTCCATGGGTGGGACGGAGGTGCCGCGCAGTGTGCTTGTGGCACTGATGCCGCCAGAGTCGCCGCCGCCGCTCGCTGAGACTACCAGAGAGGAGTACTTGAGATCGAGGGAGGAGTTCATGGAGCCGCCGTAAATGGAGCTGGTGAGGGAGGCGCAGGTGGAGTCAAAGCTGCGGTTGCTGGCGCGACGCTTCTCGGGCGTGGCATACACGGGTTCGGGTTGTTCTCTTTCCTTTTTGGGGGTGCTCATCTCTGTGTACGCCGGCGGTGGGGCTGTCGAGGAAATTTCACTAGCTATGGAACCATTCAGTGTGCCGTAGACGGACGTCATCATAATGTCATTGCGATTGAAGCTGTGCTGCCAGTAATCCTCCTCCACATTGCCAGAGTCGACTAGATCCGAGGACTCCTCCAGCTGCTGCTGCTGTTGCTCATCGGCCACCAGCTCATCCAGATAATCGGCATCGCACAGACGCGACTCATCGATCATGGCAATCGTATCATCCAGATTGGCTTCCTCATCCTCGCTACCAGACTGACCCTCCCCCTCGTCCTCCTCCTCACAGCTTTGCCCTGCAGTGGCGTTCAGCTTCTGGAAGGTCTCGTCCGCCTGCTGCATCATGTCGTAGGCATGAGGAATGGAGCTGCCGGCCAGCGAGTCAGAGTCGTTCTCCTCGATGCAGGACAAATGACGTGTGCGAAAGCCATAGATAATCCCATTGGCAAGCAGCTTTGTCGGCGGATTAATGGGCAGCGGTGGCGTTGGTAGATCAATCTGTTCTTCGTCCATGTGATGGAGTGGCAACTGCTGCAGCGTGGCCATGAGCTAAGAACGATAAAAAAAGAAGGATTTGTATTAAAAAATTATGTAAATGCAAGTGAAATTATTGATCCTGATCTGCGGCTGATCATCTATCTATTCCAGCTTCCATCCAAGGCACAACTGTACCTGGACAATGCTCCACATTCAACATAATTTGACACATGTAATTTGAGGGCTGACTTGACATTAACGATCCTACATAAAAGACACACAGACACACTGGATGTACCTACAGCGGAAATGAGCCCAAATCTTAGCTCAACTCATGCCTGAAGATACTGTGCACACATCTGAGCATCTGTAGGTGCAAGCTTGTATGCGATAAGCCCGGGAAACTTTAATGCCACTTAATGCCAGGGCAACAACAGAACGTGAAATTGTTTCCACATAAATCTATCATATGCATGTATGTATGTGCGGGAGGGGGCACACACATGCAGCAGCTCCACAGCCGGAGCTGGAGACGGAAGTGTCCCCCCAAAACGATAGACGCATGCACGCAACTTCCCCCATTTACGGCCACATGTGAGCGCATCTTCAACGTGTGGCCCCCTGCAACGATTCTGCTGCTGCTGTTGGCTGCCTCTGCTGGCGTCTGCTTCTTCCGTGGTGCAAAGAACTCGTAATAGTTCTGCTGCCATTACATGGGCAATGTCGTCGCACTCTTGACATATGTACGAGTCAAACCCCGTCTCATCCCCCACGCCCATACTCCGCCTCTCAAGTAGGTGTTGTCTTAGTTATTGTTGCTGTCTTAGATGTAGCTCCGCTGCAGTTCACTATTTTTAAGTCGCTTGCGCCACCATTGGGAAAACTAACGAAAGGGACTACAACTGGGACCAGGACTGGTACGGGTCGCTCAATGGCGGGGCTGAAACATTGACTCTGCCAGTGCAAAGTTTTCTTAAATAAACATTTTGGTGCCCCCCGATCGGTCGTTGCAGTTTGTTTGAATGCAAAAATTTGTTATGGCTGGTGGCCTGAACTTGGATTTGGTTTGGTCTGCGGCATTTGGGGAAAACTACACTGGAGAAAGTTGTCTGCATTCAAGGCAACTCAGAATTGAATATTTTAGGAATCGAATTTTTAAGTTTGGATTTTGAATAACAACGACAAAAGCCCTACGCAGCTGAGCATTAATGTGCCGCGTGATGAACACGACAAGAATATTTGTTCTTTTACTATTCTAGGGTATTTTCAATTAGCAGAATTTGCTTGTGCACCTCGAGGCTCATCATTTGGGAGGAATGGGAGCAAATGGGAAAAGGACGTGCTCTCCGCTGGTTTAGTAGATTCTTTCTTATGGAAATAATAGTCGAAAATATTGGAAACTTAACACTTAAAAATGTTTTATCATTGCATCACTACAAGTAGCCATTTGTCTGTGTGTTTGGGTTTCATAAACTCAAATTGATATCCTCAAAAAAGAAATGCTTAATTTTCTACAGTGTAGCATTTCCACCAAACTAATGCAACAAACAAATTACTTGAGGCGACGAAAAACTATACATCCCATGCCCATCCCCTCTCTCTCTCTTTCTCGCTATCACTCTCACTCTGGGGCTAGGGCTAGGACCAAAATAGATCAACCAAACGATCGCATCGGGTGACGGTGACGCGTCTGTTGTGCACGGGCACGGGCACAGGCACGGGAAGCAGGGCACACAGGAGAGAGGCTGCCGTCGCTGCCTGTTCTGTTGCAGGGGCAACCGAAATGACGACGCGACGTGGTGGCAGTTGTTTGTCGTGCGCCAAAGCAGGAAAATGCAGCAGGGAAACGGGAGTGGTGCATGGGGCATGGGGGGACCTAGGATCCCCAGCAAACTGCATTAAACTACTTTCGTTGCAGTTTATTGCTTTGTCTGAGCGCGTTTCTACTTTTAGCTATTCCATGCGAGTGTGTGTGTGTGCAAGGTACAACAAATTGAAGGTAAGGCAATGCAAGAGAGTGGACTCTTAGAGTGGTTCTACCTCACCTCCTATTTATTTTACCCTTTGTGTGCACGCACATTTTCTCAGCCTCTTGAATCGGTGAGAATCTTGAACTTGTGCTGCTTCCTTCACTCTTTTTTTTGTGTCTTGTGTTTACATATTTCTTCGTTCTTTTTGGGTGGAAAGTGAAATGAGCAGAGAGTGGGAAAAATGCCTAAAAATGTTGAGCAGGGGAAAGGTAATGGAGAACCATCGAACATGCGACATTTTTCAGTTTGTTTCCAATTTAAATTCAGCGTCTCCCTGCCACTGCCGCATGCCCTGTCCCGACAATGTCTTTGTTTCGCCGCGCCGTTCCAGACGTTTGCACTTAAATGCATTGAGATGTGGTCACTGGTTACCCAGGGCGGAGCATGCGAAATTCCTCTTTCGAAAGAAGCATTATATTCGCATTACTCATTTCGTTGCCATTTTTGTCTGGGATTAAAGCGAACTCATAGATATTCTTAGATCGAAGTGAACGTTTTACGGTGCAAAAAGTATGCTATGATATATGGAAAGCACTTGGCCACAGGAAAGTTGAGCTTCCTGTAGCAAAAATAAAACCAAAAGAATATAAAATAAACACAACTACACAACTTATAATTGTTTTCTTGAACATTTTCATCTCGAACCTTTTGTTTTTTCGTTGTTTAGGATCACTTTTTGTTGTTACTGTTTGCAAATAATCTTTGGAATATCACTTTAAAGACACAACCCACTGTCTTTTCATTCACTTTCACTGATAATCCAATGTGTGACAATTAATCCGATTGGGAACTCGCCTGCACGCGATCTATACGGCCTGCCTGTAGCCGTACCGTTTGTGTCTCTCTGGTTTGCCGTAACGTATCCGTACCGAGCGCGCGCTGGAATGCAATTGAATTGCCTCGGAGGCCAGATCACGGCACCAACTGCATCCGTTGGCAGCAGTTTTCAGTTGCAGCCGTGAGGCGCAGTGTGGCAGCGCAGTCGCAGCAGCCTCCCTCGGCAACAAGAGGATGATATGTTCCGATACTAACTAGACGGAGACAACGTCGCGCGAGCTCGGCTAAAAATAGTCCGGAGTCGGACGTGCAGTCAGCGCCGGTCCATCACTTTTGTTAGATTCCGTTTCCCCCGTGTACCCGAGCCCCTACCATCCCCCCGCCGTTACCCCTCGCAAATGCCACATCAACAGCCGCAGCAGACGCGACGTCTGTTTGTGTTGCACCCCGCGAAGCCGGCTCGGATTCTCGGTTTCTAATGGGGTCCCCGCAGCCAAAGTTTTCCAGCGGAACCAGAGGTGTCGCTTGCTTGGTTGCCATTTAATTGCACGGCGCTGTGCCAAGGGGAATGGAATGGCTATTATTGCGACTGTTTTCAAAGCGAAGATGTGCCCCTCTTCAAGATAATACAATCTATGGAAAGTGCATTTAAAATTTCTCAAAATTCCACCGCTACATATATCCATATCCTGCTGACTGTACCACAGACACACATCCAACCACTCAACTCCAAGCCGAGTTCAATGCACTTAGGCAAAAGGCAACAAGTCTGCGCTGCAGGATTGGACACAATTGCAGTTCATTCAACCTATGGACAGGCAGGCAGGCGCAGTAGAGGTGACTCTGTGACTCTGACTGCCTGGATCTATGCGACGGAAGAGAACTAATTTTTCATGTTTTGAAATTGGATGACAATGAACAGGAGGAGGACGACAGCAAACTTCTGAGGAAGATAGAGACTGCAACGCATGCGCAACAGCAGCAGAGTTTGTTCACCTCAAGCTGCGCACTAGACACATGGCCATCGATGCTTGTACTAAGTAGTTATAGTTACGCACGGATTGTGTTACATGCCGCCTAAATGCTTCGCTGGAAAAGTGCTCAGCGCGACCCTTGGATTTTCGTTGATTTTTTTCGAGCAACTGCTTCAATTTTCTGATTACTTTTTCCCTGTATTTATCTTTGGCTGCTTTAATATCATTTCCACTTTCACCGCACGACGGGGGAGGGTGTACGTACGTGTCGTGTGAATGATTTGCGACACCTTTTTGATGACTTTTGATGCTGCTACGCCTGCGCACGGAATCCTCTTAATCTTGGGGGATAATTTAAAGAGTCTTCTGGCTGCGGGCAGGCTTTAAAATTGATCTGCTCCTGTCTTCGTGATAAATTATTGTGGGAAAATCACATAAATTTGGGAAAACGAAACCAAAACCGAGTCATTGAGAATGTATGAATGCTTGCCTCACTGATGAGGCATATACACAGATGCAGATAGTTTTTCCTATTGCTGATTTGGAACATTTATTGCTGACCATTTGGTTCCTTTCTTTGCCTACTGGGGTTTTACTTGCTTGCGACTCTTGTCTTACGAGCGAAAAGACGCATTCCAGCGAGAAACATATATAAGTCTGTGTACAGTAGAACATAATTTTGAACCCATAGTTGTATAATACACATTGAAAGCATTTTTTTGTGTTCTTTTGAACATATTTCTCGAACATTAATTCTAGTCGCTCCAGAATATAATTGGAACTAGTTTGAATATCAATAAACGAAGGTAGTCATGACCATCTGGACCATGTTAGTTACAAGCTCTGCTTATTTTAAACATATCCTCTAAAAGAGCATAACATTGTAAAATGTACAAGGTCAATTTAAAAACGTCTACATACCAACTACTTATTTCCATAGCGACACATCGATCGCCATCAGTTCATACTTTCGGGCGGACATGAGAATATGTCGAGCTAAATTTATGAAGCATCTTTTGGGGCTGGCTTCATATAGAAAGTAGGTACTTGTTTAAATAAACATGAAATTCAATTAACTCCTTTATAGTTCTAGTTCATAATTTTACCGCATAAGAATAATAAATATGTCTCGGGTCGCGATCAATGTCAATGCCATGGAAAGGATCCCAATGAATGGTTCTAATATTCCAATAAGCCATTCATACATGCAAACAAACATATGTTTAAATCTTTCTACAGAACAACAGAACTAAAATAAGGGACCAAACTGTTACTGGCAGGCATTCATCCT